TAATCGAAGTTTCAAACTACTGCATGACATTATTTAAATGCGATGACTAAGTGTAATTAATGTATTCGGTTCCAATTTAAACTTTCACTTGTCCCAAATGACTGAATGGTGAATAAAACGCGCCGATCGCGCATGAATACGAAAAATCGCAGGCGTACAAACAAAATATATCGAGGAAAAGTTTTGCTCTAGTGAGCGCATAATTGCCAATCACGCAATCATTTACGAGGGAGAGAGAGCCGCTTGGCAATCGGCCTCAAAGGTATTCAAGGCAGACTTATACCGAATATTTGCAAAGCGGACATAATATTGGCCGCGCAATCAATTTCTGCGGCGACGATATTTCGTTAAGTTATTACCATAAAACCGAGAAGTATATATGTCATTAGCATATTACACACGTTGGCAGCATAATAAATTTGCAAAAGAAATTCGATCGGCTTGCACGAGATAGAGTCTTCAAAAGCCCGCAGCAGGCCACAACACATAATAAACGTGAATCGGAAGGTTGGAGTGCAAGCGGACTATCTATTTCAATGCACCATTCTGCTGCTCAAGAAAAATATTCAGAAAAACCTACAGAGATGAGCTGGCCGAAAGAATTTAATTAAAATTTGCCGAGTCGCTACGTTCGATAAAGTCGCGTTAGCGTACCCGTGATAGTAAGTGGCATCGGTAAAAATAATTTGAATTAAATAAAGAGACAATATTGTTTGTCGAATAATGACGGCAGGCAGGCAGCGCAGGGCATCTCGTTGAACAAATACAACAGGTGATAAGATCGAAGGCCAATGTATTCTATCAGGTGACGTTAATTAGCCATGTACAGTGCAAAGCGAGTTTTATTTAAGTTTGAAGCCACGCGCAGTGACGATAAGCTGCATGAAGAGTGTATGTGCAAAAACTTGTTTCTGTTAACATGTACCATGTAATTTATTCGTCTGCGCTGAACATATACGATAGTAAATTTCGCTGTCTCTCGAACGCCTCCGCACGCCCTGACAGAGGCATTCGATTATCAAATGGAAAACCTTTCTCGCACGCGGACGCGCCTGATTTTGCGTTCGAGAATCGCAAAAGAAACGCCCGAGTGGATTGTCCGTTGCCGGTCAAGGTCGGAAAATTGACGTGGCGCCGAACCGCGAGGCAAGCTGGCGAAAAACAATAAACGAGCGCAACAGGGGGAGTCAAGCATTTGAGCGTGAGCTTTCGCGCAATCCGGCCTTTTAAACGTTCCCGCTATCAGCGCCTGGCCGATGATAACGAAATCCTGACGCGGTAATTAAGTTATCGGGGCCCGCGCGCTCTACATTTTAGCGTCAGACAACCGAGCCGAGAGAAGAGAAAAAATGAAAAAAAAAACAAACAGCGTCACAGCTGACTGCTGCAGCGACCTTGTGCGAGTTCACGCGACTCGCGGGGCCTCCTCTCCTCTCCTCTCCGTATTTGCATAGACTTTAGTCGAACGCTTCGCACCTCCGCGGCTGAATGTCGCGCTCGCGTCCACAAGCCGCGGCACACGACGTCGTCGCGCCGCGCTGTTTACCGACGCCTAAGGTTTATGTATCGCTAGCGATGATAAGGGGGCAATCGATCAACCCCCTCGCTCTTATCGAGCACCTGCAGCAGCAGGAGCAGCACGCCGATCTCCCGGCAAAAGTAGACTTCGGATAGACACACGCTGCCGTCGCAGACGAGGCGACGAGTCCGTGCGCGCAGATTAGGCCGCGCGCTTATCTGCGGTGTATAATTGGAGCGATAATCGGCTTTACAATAGCGAAAAAAAAAAATAATACCATTTTATCTCTCTGTATATTTCACCGATAATGGGCTTTGCGATCGCAAGCGCGCGGGCTTCATGCTTATGCATGTGAAACTGCGTCGCAGCCAAGCCGCAAACCATGCAACCAATGACAATACTGAAAATTAATGCTCCGGCGATCATCGGAGCGCGCGCCTTTGCTTTTTTTTTTTTTCATTCTCTCCTTCTTTCGCGGCTCGCACGCGCGCTCGGCTAAACTTTATAATGTTTCAATCTGTAACGATTACTCGATTGGCTATGTCGTACTCTTCGCTTGCTGCAGCGCCTATCTGCATGCACATACGTATTCTTCGTATAAGAAAATGCGCAGTACTTTTGAGAGACGGACGAGCGAAGAATAAAAAATCGTTTGACTGTTTTTCTTAATCGCAAGCTCGATGCTTGTCAAAGTATTACTCATCGACGCGATCGCGCCAGTGAAATTCATACGCATGTTTAAAACAGAAATTGTTCTTTAAAGCATATTATATCAATTTCAATAGTTTTCCCACAAAAATAGAATGATGACTTATACTCTCGGCTGATATGGACGTTATCTCCTAAAAACCCAAACGCGATAACAAATGTCAATTCATTTTTTTATCGTCAAACTTATCACCATACACACACATAATGAAACTGAATCAGAGAGGGAGAGAGAGAGAGAGAGAGCAACGAATGTCAACAATTTGTCTGGCCACGATGAATCGATGAATGATTGTTACGCGAAATAATTATAGTTTTCTCGGGAAATTTGGCGATTTTTTGTCAAAGGCAAGAGAAAAAACCAGTCGTCTTGATCGTAGCTAGTCCACGAGTGCCGCGCAAATGTGTAGTGCAAGCAAGTTGGATTTAGGGCAAAAGAGGAAGAAAGAAAGGACGTGCCGCGAAATGGACAGCGTCCGCGAACCAAGCGAGCGACACAGATAGACGCGGTATCGTCTGCACATTGTCTGGGTAGCGCGCGAGCGCGGGGCGATCGGCATAAATAATGCATCATTATTTGCGCAGTGAGCATGAGGATAGCGTGCGCGCGTATGTATGGGTGTTGCGCGGTGTACGTAGGTAAGGTGACCGGTTTTGCGAACGCCGCCTTCGCGGAGACATGTGACGCGCCGCCGAGGAAGAGACGTACGTCGCGCACGTGCACTTCTCTCGTTCCGTATGCGGAATTTATGCATTAATCTGGCATTCGCGGAATATCAGTTACATATCGGGAGTCGTCGCGCTGTCTGCGTCGAGCCGCTCGCGCTCTGTATTCATGAAAAAGACCCATGGCTCAGCATCTCATTACTTCATTTTGCGACGCTGACCTTCTATACGAGCCCGCTGCTGCTGCTGCTGCTGCTACTTTATGCAAAATCCAAATAGCAAGCGCCTACGCGATTAGACGGTCGTTCTCGCGCTTTTTCGTCGATTGACGCGCCGCTTGGCTTTTCTTGTCTTTTCAAATGACTTCTCATTAATTTTGCAACTTCGCCAAAGTAGATATCGTGAGTTTGGGCATTCGATAGAATAATTTACCGGAGAATTGTCCATGCAGGTCAAATACACTAGTCCAACGCCAACTCGTCTGTCTGAGAGGCAAACGAGTTAAAAGTTGGGATCGAATTGGCCTCGGAAAGTGCAAAAATCAATTTACGCGTAATGAACATTTACAAAGTCTCTCGAAACTGAATTTTCGAGTACGACGAGTTCCGAAGCAATTTTCATGAAGATCCCCCGACGCCGCGACGCGACTCTACTATCACGTAAGCTGTAATCGTCATGATTTCGCTGTGGAGAAACCGACGACAATGACTTTTTGAATTTTCCTCATTTTGTGGTTCTGTATCTGTAAATGCGCCTTCTCTGAATAGAAGAGCTTGCAGTTTGGAATTGAATTTCACTGTTATATAATATCTTGTGCAGAATACGAATACCAAGCTAAGCTGAATGTCAACGCGGCGCTGTTGACGCTAGAAGTACGAGCGAAGTCATTGTATTCGAGGCGCACAAGCACAGCCTCGCCAATTAACGAAGCACGTGCGCGCGAGCTTTCCACGGCTGAAAATAGGCATTAATAAGAATGAGATGGAAAAGTAGCGCCGTCGCTCGCTGCATTCGTTGAATTGGAGCTGTTTGCCGAAGGAGCCGAAAGTAAAAATAAAAATTGGAAGAAGGGAACGGATGAAGCTTCGGTGTCGTTAGCGCGCGCGGGAGCTCATCAAAATTCCGCCTTCGATCGGCGGCGAGATGCTACTGCTGGATGCATCGGAGCTGCGCATTAATGCGCGCGCGCGCTGCGTCTTTCTAATGTGTTCTCAGGAGAGAAGCCAGCAGCAGTATCGAAGCTACATACGAAGCAGCGGCTCGTTATTAATAGCTACTGCGCATTATCATCCGTGCGTGCAGCGATGTGCCAGCGACCGAGAGAGCCGAGCTCTGCCTAATCTTCATGAATCAAGCCGGCGCGATGCATTGTGTGTCGCGAGCAATTTCATTGCCTTTCGCTCCCGCTTAATTATGCATGTCTCGCCCACGATTATGGAGCAGACCATCCACGAGTGAATATATATCTTGGCTTGTGTCATGGCAACCCCTTCGCATCACTCGCAGCAAATTCTTCCTCTATTGGCTACTGCATTATACGCATTGGCAATCAATCCCAGCGAAATGTCGCCTGCGAGACAAGTGGTATTTGACTTTGTTTCTTTCTTTCTCGTGCGCCTTACCGCAACCCAACTTGTTAGACTTGCCGTTATATATGCCTCTCCCTCGTTACATTTCTGTAATTTGCTCCTGCTAGATCCTTCCAGTCTGATGACAGATTTATTATGCACCGATAGCTTAATGAATTTATTACTTTGCCGTTAAAGATATGTCGTTATGTAGAATGTTTTCATAAATGGTAGTTGTGCAATAATTTTATTGATCTGACGCTAGGCGATTGAAAAATTTACGTTTTTCCAAATAATCATTTAACAAATTGTTACAAAAAATTCATCGATCAAACCAGCACAATTTTTTTTTTCCCCACTTTACTTTCATGTAAAATAACAGAATGAAAACGATTGAAAAACAAATTTATTTCATACTCTAACCGTTTCGCTGATCTTAAGTCAAGGGGTGATGCGAGGAAATGAGGAATAGGCGGAGGTAAAAGGTGAATCATTGATAAGTCGATCGGTTATTTTTAAATTATTTTTTAATAATTTCGATAAAAAATGATATAAATCGGGTACTTAATAACAAGATAATAAGTATTATAAACAAGGGGACTAAATACAAATGTACAGTTGGGTCTTTTTAAAGTTAGTCGTTAGCATAACTTCACTTTCCTTATATGTATAGGCGTAACTTAGGAGCTAGAATAGATAATTTAAAGACGTGTTTCTATCTTTCTGGATAATCATTACATCTCTTATTTCTTGTTCAAACCTTACAGAAATTATCGACGCTTGTTTCATTTCCAGATTCAACACGCGTATCAGTAAATAAATGAAACAAAACAAAATAAAAAAACACAAACTCTTCGCGATCCTCGCACAAAACTTGTCGGAAGAGAGAACAAACGCAAAGTATAAAAAAACATGAGAAAAATGAAAGAAGAGTGAAAAAGAAAGGAAATAGAACAAAAGCAAAGAAGCAAACGAAAGAAAACGATAATTAAATCGCTCGATAGTTAAGAAAAAAAAACCTCTAACAAACGAAACTCGGCAATAGTTATTTGCAAATCGACTTCGTGTAAAAATATTGCTATGCTTTTTCTTAATCCCCATTTCTCTTTTCGTCTATATCGATATTCGTAGTTACCGGTGAACCCCTAGAGCACCGATAGCATCGTATTTTTCATTCATCAAATTTTTAAATTTATTTGTTATTTTGCAAAAAATAGCTTCTTCGTTACGGTAGAATGTCAAAAGAGGAAAACTACATTTTGCTTCCTTACGTATCTCGTTATCGGTAAAGTCCCTCCGTATTGCGACTTCGTTAAAAATCAATGTTATTGCACTGTGGTGTACTCTCCGCAGTGTTTCCAAAAGGTGGTTCTCAATTTTGAAAATAAATAGATATGTTGTCGAAACATCCCGAGCAAAAGAGCTTAGACGATCGTTGGATTGAACCAAAGTCAAAGCTTTTGCGCTCTTGGATCAACGCGATGCAATTCGATTGTTGGCATACAAAAAATACAAACTAAAACCAAAAGAAGTTTTTCATGACAGAAAAACTAGTTGAAGAATTTTGAAAGGGAGAGTATCGTTGATTGTAGTAATCGAAAAATTGCGTTAGAATAAGAAAAAAAAAAATGCTTGCACGCACCGGCATCGCATCAGCCCCCGAGAAAAAAAAAGAAAAAAAATGAACGCGAACCGGCGCTCATATATCGACTAGTCCTGACTGTTTGCGTGCGCGCACGCGCCACGCCTAATAAGGTACTTTGAAATTAAGAAGACGGACAATGCATGACTTTGAGGTTTAATTATGTACACCAAGCGCAATACCCTCTGATACATAGATGCTTTCCTTAAATTTTTACCTTACACAAGAATTTGAACACTCCTGAGGACGAAAATGAATTTTGTTGTATTGTTTACTCCGTTCAATAGTGTTTTCGTAAAATCAAAAAGAATAACACGCACAAAAACGATGTTAAACAACCTTTGCCGCCCGATGCTCTTTCTCTCTAATTTTGTTTATTTCAATTGGACATATATACAATGCTAAAAATTTGTTAAAAACTACTACACATCTATATTATTTTTTATTATATATATAATACATGTATATATATATACTTTTTCAACCTTATGTTAGTTAAAAATTGGAAAATCCTAATCGTAACACAAGAAAGCGCACGGTAGAGTATCGAGGTCTCTCGAAAATATCCAACATACGTACTCCGATCGATTCGTACGCAAATATGTTTCTATCTCTTTACTTTTTTATTGTAGCAAAATCTCTATAGTCTACCGCCAGCATCCACAATAATAGAAGACATAATTCGACGGTAGCAGAGAAAGGAGAACGGAGGTTTTTTTCGTTGTCATTAGGATTTTCATCTTTTCTTCACGTTATTCTCTCTTTTAAATACAAACGTTATAATTTATTAAATCTAGAATAATAAATACTTTTCACGATAAAATTTATCCACATTTTTTTGTTTGTTTTTTTTTTCTCTTAAAAAAAGATTTTTTTGTTCATCTCGGGTAACAAGTGGACGAAGTTCCATCAGATGTTTCCGCAGCCTCTCCTCTGCAGCCAGCCGCGTTATATCATTGAAAATTCGTTAATAGTTTTTTAATACATTTTTTTAACATTGAATTATTGATTTTCTCACTCGTTTAAAAAATTCATCACCGAGCTCTCAAAACATTTCTTTCGCGAGGAAAAAGCATTGTTAGCTCGCCTCGTCGGAACTTATCGTAACCTTTAGGTGTGATCTCTTTTTTGAAAAGAACATTATCTCTTACATCTTTACGTTTTCCACACGAATACTATATAGAATAATAATGCATAAATTTTTACTGTTTTTTCAATATTAGTAAAAGAAAACATCACAAATTGCGCAAATATAACCACTTTCACAAGTACGATAAAAGCCACGAACAAAAGTTTATTATCATTAAGTGTAATTTTCCACAATTTATCAAATATCCGCGCCGATAAAAAGTGACTCGTGCGCGCGTCAATAACTATAACATCTACGTTCTTAACTTGAAAAATTTATATTCCACATCCATTAACGACTCTCTGAAAAAGAAAAATAGATCTTGAATGCTAATCTCGTGCCGAAAAATTGAACGGAGAGAGGATCGGACAGATTTCAATTTGTCGAGCGATAAAAAATGGCGCAAAAACCGGACGATCGCAAGCGCACGAGAATAAGTTGTCTCTTTCCTTCCACTTATTTGTCCAGAAAAACTTGCTCAATTTCCACGGCCCATCCCCTCAACGCCAATAAATTCCTATCAAGAGCGATAAGTTCAAAAGCTTTCTCAGCATGAGAAAAAACAACCTTTCTATTCTTTCTTGCCGACCCCTTAGAACGCGCGCACCTTCTATATTTTCCGCACACAAGTTGACGCAACGAACGACGCTCAAACGATAAGCTACTGGCCATTCCCAACGTGTTTCACCCTCTTTACGTATTTGGCATTTCAAGATTTTTCGGTGAATCTTACTCTCTTTTTCTCAACTTTTTTCTTTCATTTCATTTCACTTCGAAAGAAAAGCACGTCGGTTGTGATCGGATACGGTCTTGATATGTCCTATTGCAAAGGTGCGTGTACACGTGGCTGCGAACGTAAATGATGAACACATCGACTATTATTCTGCTCTGGCTGAAAAAATGGCAGTTTCTTTTATCGCTTACTATCGGGCAACGCATTATTTTCTTTTTTTTTCTCTCTCTCTCTCTCTCTCTCTTTTCCACGCTCGATCCGATTGACTCCACTATATTCTTTCACCCCGTCCGACGCTCCACCCGATTTGATTTTTCTCCCTTATCCAGAGATACTTCACAGCCTGTTTTATGTTGTAGTAATTGTCTATACATCTGTCTGATTATGATTTCCTACTTTTTTAGAGAAAACGTGCCTGTTTTATTGAGTGTTTTTAAAATGTAGTGATCGAAACTTTTCGTTCGTACCCCCCATCCCCCACGTCTCTTTAATAAATCTTTATTATCGTCTTTTTTCTATTAAAAGCTTTACCGAGAACAATTAATTTCTTATCAATAAAGATGATTGTTCAGTGTAATCATTTAATTGATTTGTAGCATTTTGCATTTAAATACAAGTCTAACATATTTTTAGTTTTTTTTTCTCTCTTTTTATTTATGGGCCCTGTATTAAATTTTGTACAACAGTTTTCTTTCCTTCAAAGATTGGAGGTGGTAGGCACTATTTTTTTTTGTTTTGTTTAATTTGTAGCTTAGTTGTCCGTCCCCTATCGTTCTCTAACCTTCATCTCTTTTTCCTACACGATTTTTAATTGTCTCTTCTTTCCTTTTTCTCAATTTTTATGTGTTATCCCGTAAGAACGGCTGACTAATAGACAACATAACGCAAGAAAGGGCAAAACTAAATCATTCTCACGACTTTTCTCAACGTATGACTCTTTCTCTTGCTTGCTCGCCGCGTTTACTCGAACACTAGACCCAGCAAAAGACTACACAAGCGCGTTTATTCTACTCTTTCTTGATATTTCAACTTTCTTATTTCCCTCGGCTCGAGAAATGAACAGTCAAAGAGCAAACGAAAAAGTACCGATGTAGGATGCATAAAAGAAAAATGATAGTATAGGATCGCTTGACAGTATAGAAAAAGAAAAAACAAGTTACGTTAATTACATCGATAATAAGTCGGTAAACGTTAATAGTTAAAGGTAAACGTAATAAAAGAAACATGAGATCAAGGTTTGATATTTGATAGTTCGTACAGGCGGAACTGGGCCAACCATACTGGCCCGCGTCTATTCTCGGCCCTAATCGAAAAATCTGGACACGCTCTCTCTTTTCTCTTTCGCTTTTTTCATCAAGTGTGTTTGTATTGTGTGTCGCTTGTGTGAGTGTCTGAGTGTAAATATATTTATATAATATATGCAAACTTTAGAGTGTACAATCGTTTAAAATGTTGCTCTTTCAATTAATCTCTTAACTTCTAACTATGTATACAAGACGCTAACTTGGCGCCGCTCAATATATATATATATATTATATATATTTATATGCATGAAGACAAAAACAAAAACAATAAGAGTTTTTTTTCCTTTATAACGTTATGATCTTAAGACGTAGTTTTGTTATGGGCATACATTAAGACATCGTTCTGCCGCAATGTGTTCTCTTCGTAATAATACAATTATCATTAATAGTATAGTAGTTAATTAATCTTTACTCTGTTTTAGAAAAAAATTATCAATTGTTCCTCGCTCTTGTTCTCTCTAGTATTGGACGCTCTGTCAACAAATGGTGTGCGTTTTCTTTTTTGTTTGACGCGTGTATATCGTTGTGTACAATCAGTTTCGTACAAGATTTGCAAAAGAAATGAGTCAGTGTAAGTGTTATTCAGTGTGCGTAAATCGCGTCGCCACGTTCGTTCAATAAAATTAATCTTTGTGTGTCCTTTTAAAAACGTGAAACAACCACATGACATCAACTAACAATTGTCTTCGTTCGCCATTCTCGATCCAAACTGATCGTCAAATCAACGATCTTGCGTCTCATCCTTCTTTTTTTATTTTATATATTTTTTGGTCTTTCGATCGATTTTCAGTGCGCGATTGTACAAACAATAAATAAATAATTTATTTTTTTTCTTTCTTTTTTTTTAGAATTCGACGGAAATTAAGAAAATTGTCGGTTAATGATCGAGAATCACGAGCGGCGTTGATGTGCCAAGCGGTTATTTCGAAAAAATAAACTTCGCAATGTACTTTTTTTAAAAATTATCTCTCACGCCAAATAGGATATTGATTGAAAAAAAAACCAACACTGGCTATAGTTGGATGCGTACCATTATAATCTTTTATATCCTACAAGGAATCGATATATTACTAAATAAGCATCTATTATCGATATACACATCAGGGTAGGGGGAGTTTTCGCGATGATCAGCCGAGCTGCGTTGGCAATCGGGCAAGCAGCGTGAAGAAATCTTTTTTTTTTTTGCTTTATTAAGGAAGAAGCTGCCTCAAGACTGTAGGTCCGATCGCGATCGCAGGTCGGCCACGAACTCGCGCGTCGTACAAAAATGTCCTTAGGCTTCTAGTATGCTACAGTACATGTACAAAAAACGCGTTCGGCTTTTCGCGCCTCGAATGCTCGCGTCGATAAGTGTGTATACTACAGCCGCTTGCGACAAGTGTAAGTTTTTCAGAGTTCAATTCAATCTTATATGCACCGCCTTAGGGAGCTCTCTCACTTTCTCAACTCGCCCCCCCCGTGAATGAAAAAAACATTCAAGAACGAAACTACAAGACTTTAAATAAGCCGCTGAAGAGAACAAGTCGCTTATAGGTATATAGAGGAGGCAGGCGCGTGACAAACCTCGCTGTTCTGCCTTTAGGTCGAGAGGGCCGAGGTTCGCGGAAGCGCTCCTTTATATCCGTAGCGTGAACGGGCAGCCGCAAAGAAGAGAAGGGTGAGAGAGAGTATATAGCACACGAAGTTAAGTCGCTTCCGGGAAGCTCAGCTCGCTTCGACTTCGATACACAATGCAAAGGTGTGTTGTGTGGTGTGATGGCGCTGACCGGCGTGTTATAGGTATGGACCGGTTGAGATCAGCTGACGACGCTCGCAAGGAGCAGCTGGTGGCCGTACGGAGGCTGCTGCTGCTGCTGCTGCTACTTCCGCTCCGGAAGCCAAGCGTACACGCGCGAGCGGCCCTTTAAAATGCCGGCGTCGGGTTCTCTCTCATTCCTCGCAGAAAGGGGACAACGATTTGCATTCGCGTGCGTCCACGCGTATGACAAACGACTTTTAGTACGGTTCGCTCTGCGAGATGAGTGTCCAAGAATGAGGAACTCCGCTCGCGTTCCCTCGCGTGAGTTTATCTTTTCATTTTTTGTTTCTCGTCTCTGTTTCAATTGTTCACAGATACATTATACCCGAGAGAATACCATTAAAAAGGAGAAAGAACGGAAAAAATAGAAAGAAAAAATAGATAAACACAGAGATCACTTTGAGTTTGGGTAATGAACACAACGTATTAAAATTGGCGCCCTCTCAGTTAGAGCAGCAGTGCGGCGACGAGTTGCCGACTGGACTTGCTCGGCCTCTTCTTTTTCATTCTCTTTTGCAACTTCTTGGCCTTCTTGCTTCTTCGAAGCTTGAGCTTGAGCTGCTGCTGCTGAGTAATGTCAGCGTCATCAGAAGATGAGACGGAGATTACGGGTTGGTCGAAGAGCACGGAGTCACCGTTGACGCGGCCCTCGAGCCCGTCGCTCTCCTCGTCTCAGAATCCCGCCCACGGCACGGCGTCGCTCACGCCGATGTCGAACATGTCGCTGACGTCGGGCGTACAGGCGAATTCAGGTCCACCGGTGAAGCTTTCGAGCTCGTTCGTGATCGTTTCCATGTCGAGGTCCAACTGCTTGAAGTCCGACGGTTGAATCTGCAGCAGATCCGTCAACGAGTCGAGATCGGCGAGGCTCGTGTTTGCTGGTTCTTCACTTTTCACCACCATCTGCTGACCACCTTGGCTGGCCATCTCCACTGGCTCTTCCTTGATGAACACTTGCGAGGCTTGATAGGCAACTTGCTGTTGCTGTTGCTGCTCGAAAGCGGCGCTTCTCGCAAGATTCAGATCGATGTTGTAGGACGACCTGACAGACGAGAGAAACATATCGCTGGTGAAGTCTGGCGACGCAAAGTCCATCGTCTCTTGCTTGATGAATTTGTGCTGCTGCTGTTGTTGCTGATGATGTGGTTGTTGTTGTGGTGGTTGCTGCTGCTGCTGCTGCTGCTGCTGCTGCTGTTGCTGTTGCTGCTGCTGGTGATGGTGGTGGTGGTGGTGATGGTGCGGCTGCTGCTGTTGTTGGTGATGAAGACCAGCGATCTGCGTGTGGCAGTCGGTGAAGTGGTCGTCGAAGTAGCTGGCAGACTCGGGCGAGTCGGGCGTGTCGCAAGAGGGGCTGTTGGGTACCTTAGCAGTGGCGATCGGCGGCGTGGGAGTATAGTCGCTGCTCTGTGTCGTCGCTGAAGTTGTCGTCGAGGTGAGGGGCCTCTTGTCGAGAGCGAGCCTGATCTTGGGCCTGGAGATGGGGTTGGTCGTAGGCATCGTTTGGAGCCTCTTCAGTGGGGTCTGTTGATTATTGTTGGTGTCGTTGCGCATCTTGGGCGAGCTCGGGCTTGCGCTCGCGGAAGACGAAGCCGACGAAGTGTTGGAGCAAGTGCTACTGTTGCTGCTACTGCTTGAGGACGAGGATTTCTTACTCTTTTTGAGCTCCTTGGATTTGGTGGTAGGCAGAGGTTTGCTGGTCTTCTTTCTGGGCCGATATTTGTAGTCGGGGTATTCCATCATGTGCAGTTGTCTCAGCCTCTCGGCTTCCTCGATGAACGGTCTGCGCTCAGCGTCATCTAGAGTCTTCCAGCGTCTACCCAACCTCTTACTTATCTCTGCATTGTGCATGTCCGGCGACACTTCGCAGATTTTCCTGCGCTCGATCTGCGACCAAACCATGAAGGCGTTCATCGGTCGCTTTATATGGTTAGGGTTGTTCTTTTTGGTCTGCAACAGAAAGAAGAAAAACAAGACTTTTGAGTACGTAATAGCAAACAGTTAATTGCGTAGTTTTTCGAAACAGCACTCTTCGGCTGTGAAGGAATATGCCAAGGCAAGCATACGGATTACGTAGGTTCGTGGCTAATAAGAATCGCAGTGCTGCCGCCGTGCGGAGGGGGAGCGGAGAGAGAGAGAGAGAGCAGGTAAGCCATACGCACGGACACATACGTCGCAGGGAGTCAGTCGATCGTGACTAAAAGTGTCTCTCCGAAACCCAGACTTTCCTTTACAGTTCTCACGGCAACTTTGTTGCCTTGTCAACGGTGAGCCACCCGTTACGTCCAACTCAGTACGCTTCGCTCGGTACGCACGAGGAAGTGCCGGCGGTTAGCATGCAAGCCACGCGTCGTGCCTGCACAAGGGTTCGCTGGAGAAAAACAAGGTCGAAGGGGTTTTTTTTTTTGCGACGATCGCCTCGGTCACCGGCATTATTATGCTAATGCCGCTTTTTGTTTTCTCGCGCGCACGCCGCCTGCGAGCCAACCCCGAACATTTTTTTTGCTCCCGCAGCTGCAGAGTTCCGCACGGCCAATTGCAGTAAAGGAAATTTGCTGCTTTTGCTATCGAACTCTCGAATTCGGCTCGCAAGTTCGCAACACGCCCTCGGTTGTTAATTAGCGAGCCGTGGCTGTAATAGCGAGGAGTATTTTGCAGGCGATCACACTTGCCAGCAGAATTGCATTAAAGGATCGCGAAGGTAAAAATGTGTGTCAAGGTGAGGGAGCCGTACGCGCTGCGTACGCAGCTGAGGCTAACAGAGCACATCGCCTCCCTGTCGATCTTATCGGCCAGTGCGAGCGAGCGAAATCGATGCGCCTCTCTCTCTCTCTCTCTCTCTCCTCTCTCTCTTTCTCACTGCCTGGCCTTCCTGTGCATTATGCGAAGCTTCGGCCCATGATAAACGTGTGCAGCAGCGTACTGCGCTTTGTGTCGAAATCCACTGCCGCTGCCTACGTCGTTACAACAGCGCAGATATCCTCGTCGCTCTCGACTACCCGTTCACTTTTTTTTACATGACGAGGGGCTTAGCCGTTCGATTAGCTACAAGAGCCATTGATTTCTAACACCGACAAATTGCGGAACTCCTTGAAGCGTCTTAATAATTCGACTGGCAAAAGAGATCGGCTCTATAGGGATGATGACGTGAGCGAGCAGCAGCAGCGCTGATAAATTACAATCAAAATTTCGCGAAGAGAGGGTTTTCTCTCTCTCTTTCTCTCGGTGTATTTGACTTTTTAATCACTCTCCGCGGCTTCTTTAATTGATGCGATTGATCGATCTGTGAGCCGAGAGTGTCGAAATATCACCACGAGAGGCTATTGAATTTCTTTTTTTGGGTGAACCCATACATATTCAGATCTCATTCTATTTGTACCTGTTACTAGGCTGCACTGCAGGGGCACACATTTTGTGCAACGACAGCGAATGCGGCTGGTTTATTATTTAGGCTCGCACGAGGGCGCTGAAATTGTGCTTAAGTTCGCCATGCTGCAGCGGCGAACGTCCGCGCTTAAATAATTCAACGAGTTTGTAGAACAGTTCGACGCTGTTTCCACACACAACATACACGCCACACCAAAAAGAAAATTCTCGCCCCGTTACGTCCGCTGTACTATGGCTATAGCTGCTCAATCGTCGCCTATTAATTAATTTATCCTATAGCCGACTTTGCTGCTTTTGCAGCCTTTACTTGCTATTAAACCTCTCGACCTTTTTTTTACGTTGGCTAAGAGTATCTTCGCAAAACGCACGCGCTCCGGTTCTTTTCGGCATGGTTATAAGCTTTACGAGCCAACTGTGCGAGATGATGGCAGCGGCTCGAAAATGCTCGTTAAACGCTCATAATTTGCGTCGTTTCGCGAAACCCTCTTCTACTCGCCGAAAAAAAGAAAAAAAAAAAAAGAGAGAGAGAGAGAGAGAGAGACAGAGAGAGAGAGAGAGAGACAGAGAGAGAGAGAGAGAGAGAGAGAGAGAGAGAGAGAGAGAGAGAGAGAGAGAGAGAGAGACAGAGAGAGAGAGAGAGAGACAGAGAGACAGAAGAAGAGGCGCGCGAGGCCGGCGCATTTTCCGCATATGGAAATGGCCGAAGGCCGTAGAGTTCGAGATGCAGGTTCCCTCGTTGACCTTACAGTCCTCAGCTCACTTCCGTCAGCTGCTGATGCAGGCTGATGTGAGTAATAAGCGCGATAGCCGAAGCGATCGTCGAGAAAAAAAAATGCGACGAGCATCGCAATTAAGCGGCGCATCTCCGCCTGACACACACGCGCACGCGCGCGCGATAATAATCGTCGCATAATTTATGTCGCGGAAAGAATGGTGCGCGAGAGAGACGGCCAGTAGTTAATCATGTATATCGATCGTGATGTGTTACGTATGCGAAATTTTTAATTCAGAATGCGTGCCGGTAAGCACTGGGCCTCGTGCATTATTGAGCGAGCGGGCGCGCGCTACGGCTGACAAGCTATTGATTACTCGCGATGTTCTTGTAAAATTCATCGCTAGCGTAATTTGCTGGCGCGCGAGCGCAAGTCAAACTTTAGAAACTGCAGCGGCGGACTAGCTGTAATCGGCGCTAATGCAATATTGACAAAGCTTGAAGTTCTTGCGCACCCGACGGAGAAAGATACTCGGGATATCTTCACTCCCTATAGTTAGCTACAGTTAAGACTAAGCGCGAGCCTGTGTGTATAAGCCCAATCACGTCTATCTCTCTAACCCAGAAACGATATGCATGCACGCCTCGAGGAGCTATACCTATAATACCAATTCCAGCTGGAACTCGCACAACCTGTACGCATTGGCTGTGTGCGTGCGTGCGTGCGTGTACGTGTGGAAGGGTAAGCAAAAGAGGCCAGTCATCGTCTCAGGATTAAAGCACGTCGCGCTGACTCGACGGATTTGTCCTGCTGCTGGCTGCTTCCTTTTTCTATTTAATCGCTGGGCGCGCTCTCTCTCTCTCTCTCTCTCGTTCTCGTTGGAGAGTGACTCGAGGAAACCGACACCCCGTTACCATACCGAAAATACTAATCAAACCCCGCCGCGCCACGACGTCCGATTCCACGAGTCCGATCATCGCGTACGCTCCTTCACTTTTCTAACCTGCTGCTCTCTACATGCTATTCAGCTTAGTGCACGAGTGCCTGCTGCTGTCACTCCATTGCAGTGTGCGCGTTAATGTGAAAAGCTGTTTGCCTATGTATAAATAAGACTACGGCGTTAATTAAGAGCGAGATGGCCTAATAGAGTACCGCTTTTGGCCTGGCTTCTGTTACTAACAATGGACATACGTACGAGAGGCTTTGTTAAAACGTCGAATGAAGGTCAGGCTAAACACGCCGCATTGTTTCTCTCACAATGTGCGCGAGTTCTTTTGGCTTTTCGCCTGCTCGCGCGACGTAGTCGTAGAAACGAAGGACCCCGAGAGAGTTGTTAAATGCCTCGATCGACCGAGCGACACACTGCGCGCTCTCTGTATATATGTGTTGTGAGAGCATAGGACACGGAATCGTCATTTGCGCCCGCGGCACGTGAGAAAGTTTCCAATGCCAGAGAGAGGGAGGAGAGCGAGCACCGCGCCAAAACCGTACGTTCGGAAAAAGGAGGCCCTTAACGGCGCCTCTTCCGCCCAATTATTCATGTCCCAATGTGTTGCACATACAATAACGCGAGATACGACAGCGAAGAGGTCTCCTCGGTGATTACCAACTGTTACGAATGAGCCGCTTCTTTAACCCTTCCACTCTCTAGGGCATGAGGGCGTGTAAAGAGAATTATTTGTTTGTTTATTTTTTCAATCTTCATTTTAAATGTAACGGCCTAACGAGTCTTTCGAGGATTTTGGAATAGAAAATTAAAAGAATTACCATCCATCAACATATATCATTTTCCAATTAAAGGAGTCGACATATACACACAAGCAAAGCGAGCTTTCCTCATTTTTTCTTCTTCCTCGCAATTATCCGATCTGTGCCGACGATAATTGGCACATGCGATTTTGATTATTGTCGTCGTGGTGATTTTGCGAAAAGAAAAGCGAACACACACGCGCGAGCGACGGGCAATTTTCGTGGAAAGGCTTAATTAAAGAAAAAGAGAGAGAGAGAGAGAGAGAGAGAGAGAGAGAGAGAGAGAGAGAGAGAGAGAGGAGAGAGAGAGAGAGAGAGAGGACAAAGTTGCAGAAGACAAAAACGATCCGTATCGCGGGTAATCGTCGACTATGCGCGCGTGTACGTGAGCGCATCGTGGTGGCGTGGCTCGGCTGCTGCCGAATTAAAGGCCTTGAATTCGTAATCCCAGATTTTTCCTCGCTCGCAGCTTTGAATTATCGCGTCATACGTGAGCCAATGTTCGTATATATAAAAACGCATATGTGCGCGAGCGACGAGCGGTTATTACAAAAAACTCTGTACGCGTAATTGCAGGTTGCGCCTCTCTCTCTCTCTCTCTCTCTCTCTCTGGATATTAAGCACGACTTGGTGATTTTCGCGAGGAAACGCATCATCACGGCTCGGAACGACAGAAACTTAAAGTCCGCCTCATTGTTTCTACGAAGCTAATTGATCTCGACGAATGGACAGAGCGTAGTTTGGTATGGCCAGGCGGAGTCGATCAAAAACAGACACGTAGGCGATCTGTTTAAATATAAGCGTGACGTGACAGCCCTCGCCACGTCGGGGGAAAATCGGCGACCAATCGTCGCAGCTCAGGGGTGGAGAATCGCGGTCGGCCGCTCGTTCTTATAGGTCGCTATAGATTTCTCGGCCCCCGCGATCGATAGAACGCAACTGGGTTCAGTTTGCCGTCGCGACCAATGAGCGAGGGACTCCGACGAAGTTGGTTACAGACCGACTATAGACGCGAGTGGCGAGCTAAGCTGGCACTGCGCTAGCGCGCGCGAGGAAATGGAGGACCGACCGCGTTGCGAGTCGCGCGCATACGTGCAGACG